TTTCCTCTTCTCTCTCTCTTATTTTTTTGGCTATGGGGCTTGAACTCAGGACTTGGGCACAGTCCTTGAGCTCTTTTGCTCAAAGCTAGCATTCTACCACTGTGAGTCATGGCTCTACTTCAAGTTTCCTGGTGGTTAATTGGAGATAAGAGTCTCATGGACTTTCATTCCCAGACTGGCTTTGAACTGTGATCCTCAGATCTCAGCCTCCTGAGTAGCCAGGATTATAGGAATGAGCCACCAGCATCTAGTTCAAATGTTTGATTTCTTTCTTCTCCCTCTTACCCCTTCTTCACCTCTATCCTAGGTGCTGGGGATCCATCAGGGCCTTACTCTGGCTAACCAAGCACTCTACCCTTCCCTCCCCCCCCCCCCCCCCCCCCCCCCCCCCCCCCCCCCGCCCCGGAAAGAAAAAAAAAACAGAGCTAGGTGCTGGTGGCTCATGCCTATAATCCAAGCTACACAGGAGGCTGAGGATCAAGGCTCAAAGCGAGCTCAGGCAGGAAAGTCTATGAGACTGTTATCTTCACTAAACTACAAAAAAAGTCAAAAGTGGAGCTGTAGCTCAAGTGGTAGAATGCTATTCTTGAGCAAAAAGAAGGTCAAAGACAGAGCCCAAGTCCTGAGTTCAAGCCCCAGGACTTGCATACATACATACCTACACACACACACACACACACACACACACACACACACACACACACACCGTATGTTTCCTACTGATTAAATCTCAGGCCATAAGAGTGTTAAAACTCTCCCTTGAATAGACAATGTTTTTCAAATTGCTAGTCTTTACTCAGTAGTATAACTATCATTATTACTATTGTCAGTTGTGGGGCTTAAACAAAGGACCTGGGCACTGTCTCTAAGCTCTTTTGCTCAAAGCTAACACTGAACCACTTTGAGCCATAGCTCTACTTCCTGTTTTTGAGTGGCTAATAGGAGATAAGAGTTTCACAGGAACTTGTTTGTCCAGGCTGGCTTTGAACTGTAATCCTCAGATCTCAGCCTCCTGAGTAGCTAGAATTACAGGTATGAACCACCAGGGCCCGGCAGTAGTATAGCAGTTATTAATTCAAAACCTTTATGTGCTAGAGACTTTGCTGAGGGCTGGAAATTGAAGCCTAAATGAAAGGAGAAAAAAGCTCTGTACCTACAGTGCAGGGCATTATGTAGATAATTATTTATACTACAATAGTTACAACACAAAAAATTCATTTGTCAGACAGGTATGGTAATGTGCATGTCTAATCCTTACTACTTGAGAGGGAGAGGTAAAATGATCTTGGTTCAAGTGTAGGCCAAATAAAGTTTGGGTGACAATAAATACAATACAATACAATGAAGGCCCAGTCTTAATGGGTCACTCTTGTCATTCTACTTACTCAGGAGGGTGAGATTGGGGAAGACCTAGGTTCAAGGCCAGCTGGGCAAAAAGTTTGAGAGACTTCATCTCAGTCAATAAAAGTCAAGCCTGTCATACCAGCTACTCAGAAAGTGTAAGTAGGAAGATTACAGTCTGAGTCAGCCCAGGCATAAATACAAGATCCTATTCAAAAACTAGCTATGGCAAAATGGCCTGGGGGCATGGCTCAAGTGATAAAGCTAAGCTTAGGTCTCTGGGTTTAATTTCTTTTCTTTTCTTTTTCTTTGGGGGGGGGGGGGGGTCCAGTAGTGGGGCCTGAACTCTGGGCCTGGGCGCTGTCCCTCAGCTCTTCAGCTCAAGGCTAGCGCTCTACCACTTGAGCCACAGCGCCACTTCTGGCTTTTTTCTTTTTGCTTATGTGATGCTGAGGAATCAAACCTAGGGCCTCAGGCATGCAAGGCAAGCACTCTACTACTGAGCCACCTTCCCAGCCCCTCTGGGTTTAATTCCTATGTGGCATAAATAAGTAAATATGAATAAATTAATTAAGTTTTGTATCACTTTGTCTGGAGGGCATTAGGAAAGACCTCAGAGGGGAACCGACTCAGAGATGACTTTGAAAAGCAAGGTGGCATTCATTAGCCAGGTATAGTTTGCACACCTGTAATCATAACTACTCCAGAGACTATGGCATGAGGATCAAGAGTTCAAGGCCAGCTTGGATAAGTTGGTGAAACACAGTTTCAAATAAGATTTTTAAAGGGCTGAGGCAAAGCAGTTGCCTAGCATACTCTACTCCATGGGTTCATATCCCAGACAGGGATTCAGTGTATGAAGGAGGAGAACATGGGATCGAGGAAAAGGAAAATATGTACAACGATGTGCAGGCATGGAGATGAAAGGCTGCTTTGGGGATGTGAGTGGTTGGTAAAAGTGTAAGGTAAGTGATAATGAAAGGAAATCAAATGTTCATTGTCTTGAAGCCAACAGTGAATTGTTTTAAGTTTTATTTCACCTGTAAGTGATAGGAAGGCCATAGTGGGTTTTTTGGTAGGAAAAGTGATGTAATGATATCTGTAGTGGAAATAGTCAGTAGAACTCTTATGGCAAATGTGAGGAAAATATATTGGGGTTGGGTGACCCAGAGTAGGAACAGAAGACCTGCTGTTTAGTGGATGCTAGGGAGCTAGCAATGCACATCTGTAATTCCAGTTCTCAACATGGAGGATGAAGTAGGAAAGTCATGAGTTCCAGGCCAGAGAAAACAAGCAAAGAAGGAAGGAAAGGAGGGAGGGAGGAAAGGAAGGAGGGATAGGGAGGGAAGAAAAGAAGAGAAAGAGAGAGGGAGAGGGTGGAGGAAGGAAGGAGAAATAAATGGAGAAATAAATTAAGAAAGAAAAAGGAACAAAATAAGGGACTTAGACAAGTCTAAATAAGGAATGCTGAAGTGCTGAATTCCTGCATAAGGCAGAGGGAGGGAGAGGAGAGATGAGAAGTGGAGCCATTTTTATAAAGTAGGATGAGTAGAATGAAGGGAAGGCGAATCTTAAACCACCTCTTACATTAAGCCATGAATATATGTGTACACATATTTTAAACAAAGATGGAGAGCAGTAAGATCTCATTCTCAGACATTTGGGATGAGCTTATACAAAAGTCAAACATGAAATTGAATTCTGCATTCTCCAAAAGCCAAGGCAAGGAGGGATTCATAAGGGCACACACAGCTTCAACTATCTGTTCATATGAAGTACTGCACCCTCAGGGAGAGGGAGAGACGGGCAGATGCATAGTGGAGAAGTAAATCTGAAGGACACTGGGGACAGGTCATGTTGTTATGTGATTCTGAGGGCTCTATCTGAGCACACTGGTCGTTTCTACTGCTCACTGTTTGAGGGGCCAGGGGTGCCCAGGGGAGCCCAGCCTTGGTCCAGGAAGTTGTCTTTACACACTACCAATCACAATATTGGAACCTGGGAGAGTCGGGTGTGACTCCACACCTCTTCTTACTTCTTAACTCCTGTGTCCTCCTCTACATGCCCAGAGAAACTGGGCACCAACATAATGGAGCCAGGACATGACTCTGCCTTTTTGATTTCAGAGCCTAGATATTTCTTTTTCTTTTTGTGCAGTTCCTGGGGCTTGAACTAGGGACCCGAGCTTTGTCCCTGAGCTTTTGTGCTCAAGGCTAGTGCTGAGCCACAGCTCCACTTCTGGCTTGGGGGGAGGTGATTAATTGGAGCTAAGAGTCTCATGGACTTTCCTGCCTGGGCTGGCTTTGAACCAAGTTCCTCAGATCTCAGCCTCCAGAGTAGCTGGGATTCCAGGCGCCTGGCGAGCCTGGATATTTGCGGCATGGAAGGAGCTTGCTTGTTTTTTCCTTAGGGTCCTGTTGGTTTATGTGCTCACACAAGGCATGGAGCAACAGGCCACCGACTGAGGGAGGTTGGGGGCCCTGCCCTGAAGACTTGGTGGCCTCAGGTGACACTCTCCTTTGACCCAGCTCTGGCTGAAACTGAAACTGACGTCACCTGTGAGAGGCAAGGCCTCACACACACAGGTTAAGAAGAGGTCTCTAGGAGAGAAGGCTTCTTCGGAAAGTTGGGGCGGGGTCCCCCCCATGTGTCCAATGAGGGCAGGGGTGGAGGGCGACGCTGGGGAAGGGGTGGGAAGGCAGCTGACACCCAAGACACCTGGAGTTTCTGCCATCTTCCCTTTGAGGCTCGAGTGATGTGCCCTTCATGATCTCATTCCCAACCACTGTGGGAAGATATTAAAGATATTATAAAGGCATTAAAACCCCTACTTTAGAGCCGGAGCAAGAGACTCCGAGGTGGCGTGCCCGAGACCACAAACTGAATTAAGAATGGCAAGTGTCCTGATTCCATCCAGATGCCGAGCTGCAGGCACGCACCGCCCGGCGCCCGGCCCGGAGCGGTCTCCACCTCCCCATCCGATCCCAACAGCTCCTCCTTCCCCACCTGAAAGTCCTACCTCGAGCCTAACTAGGCGTCGCCCCCTCGCCTCCCGCCCCGCACCACTCCCCCCCCCCCACCCCGGCCTCCCCGCCCCCGACCCGAGCACTCGGGGCAACGCGGGGAGTCAGGGGTTAATACCCCCTCCTCCCCGAGCCCGGGCGGCCCCTTCCCCCTCCCCAGCCTCCTGGCCTCCCCTCGGCGGGCGCCGCGCCTGCAGCGTCGGTCCCGGAGACCGGCACGCGGGAGGAGGGGGGAGAAAGTGGGCCTGCATCGCGAGTGGCCAATCCACGAGTCCGCGGAGCGCCGGGGGCGGCGCCAGCGCCGGGCCAGCGCCAGGCTGGGGCTGCCTGCTTCCCGCGGCAAAGTACAAATGCGCCCGAGCGCGGCGCCTGGCGCCCTTG